TTTTCTTTTCTTCTTTTTTCCCCCTACTCGGGCGTGCTAGGATAAATCTTGAGTTATGCCCCTCGGGGTGCAAAGTATGACCGGACAAGGAAGGAGCTGGAGCAGCAGGGTGGGGCGGGACGGGGGGTAGCGGCGGGCCGAGTAAAAGTATACGCGGCCGCCACCCCGCCGAGCCTCGCCGCCGCCGGCGCCAGCCAACTTAGCGCGCAGAAAAACAGATTCGGTGTCATTTCTCTTTGCAAGGGGAGAATTCAATCCCGAAACCGAGGTGGTTGGTGGGCTTGGTGCAGGCGGGCGCGTGGGAGCGGGTAGGACCGCAGGAGCATCGCCCCAACGCCACTGATTCTACCGAGCTGAGTCTTTTACTTTCCGTGTACCGTGTACACATCACATTACTTCTACGTACTTTGCACACATGAAACACTTTGCGGTTGTGTACATGTATACCCAATATGTTTCAATGTTGTGACCTGTACAACACGTGACATTAAATTCCTGTGGTGGTTGGTAAATTCCGTAAAATTCCCGTCCTCTGTGATGTACAACTGAAGTCAGACCCCGCAGATAAGGTAGTGCCTGCTACACACCCTCTTCATGATGAAACACCACATGCGGCTGCCTGCGCTGCACTCGCACCCCGCCGGGCAGGGGCGCATATCTTGTTGCCGTCACTGGAGTTGTTCTTCTGGCCCCCGCCATAAGCTTATCTTAAAGGTGCGTTATCAGGCCTCCCACCGCCCCCTGCTGCCTGCCGTCTTGCGCGCCAGGGGTTTTTGTTGTTGTGTGTGCCACGCACGCACGCACATCACGCGCGCACGCACTCACGCTTGCGCCCGAAAACGCGCTCATAAAAGTGGTGCCATAGAGCTGTCCTCTAGTATTCCGCCGTTGGTTTAGCCCCCCTACCCTCTCCTCCCCTCCTCGCCACCACCCCCGCCACCCCCCTCCCGCACAAGTGGATTTATTAGGGAACTTCCAAATTTTATGGTCGGGCACCATTGCGACTTTTGCTTTGGCGCTGCTGTTTGTGCTCCGTGCAGCGGGCGCGTCTCCCCCTCCGCTCCCCGGCAATTAAATTCGCGAGCGGACCCGGAAGGAAAAAGGGACCAGGGAGAGGGAGGGAGGGAGGGGGTGCTTCGACGTGACGCATGAGTCGAATTTTCGTGTTGGCGCGTTTTTCAATTCCAGCGCGCTTCTGTACTGTAAATTCGCCGCCAGGACGTTCTGCGTTGAGCGGCGGGGCGGGGTGCGGGGTGTGCCAGGCAGGCCGGGGTGGACGACGTGTGCAGCTCGCGAGCCATCACCATCTCATATGCTGTTTGAAGCCGCTCCGCTCAGCTCTGCGCGCAGCCTCCCGGGGCGCAAAAGGTGGAGGCTGCCCCGAGAGAGAGAGAGAGAGAGAGAGAGAGAGAGAGAGAGAGAGAGAGAGAGAGAGAGAGATCGTTGGGGGAAGGGGGGTTAGCTGCCGGTAAGGACACGTGGAGAGGGACACGTCGAGAGGGTGCTCGAGGCTCGGAGAGGCCTGGGCAGGGCAGGGCAGGGCAGGGCAGGCTGTGCCGAGGCTGTGCCTTATCGTTACAAAGGGGTCTAACCCTCTTACCTGCGTTACTATTTCGTGTTTGCTCCTCGCTTTGCCGGCGGCGGCCGCGCCACGCGCCCTCGAGACGCGTCGAGGGCGGGATCGGCCCGCTGCAGAGACGCTCCGCTCGGCGAGACTGCGGGAGAAGGAGACGACCGCGGCGCGCTGTGGTGAGCGGCTCGCGCAAAAGCCCGTGTTGGTTTTGTCTGCACTATTTAAGGAGTTGACTTGACTAGACTTTAATTTGGCACGAATAATCAAACAGACTCGAGACGGTCCGCTCCTCTGGTCACCCTAATCGTGGACACGGCCACCGCCGTCGGCTTCTCTCCCGCGCTGGCTTCATCCTTCTCCTGCGCTCTGCACTCGGGGGCTGCTTAGGGAAAAATAGTTGACAAATTGTCCTTTACTTTACAGGAGCCGCCGAGGGAATCCTCTCAGAGTCGTCGTCCTCCTCCAAGTCGTCGGCCGCTAACGTTTGACCCCCTCCCCTTCCCTCCCTCTCCCTCTCTCTTCGTCCAGGGTCCTGGCTCTTCTCTGCTGCAGTGCAACACTCCATTTCTCCGCTCTCGTTTCCTCGCTTGCTAAATTTTCTCATTAGCGCCGCTTGGGCAGTGCGAAGGATTCAGCAAGTGGGGGCAGAGAGGGTTGGGCGCCCGGCGGCGGCGGCCGCTGCAACGCTGCATGGCCGCACCGCTTTGCCGTGCTGTCTCTATCCATGCCCCCCTTCCCCCCCTGGCAGGCAGGGTGGCGTCCAAAGCGAGCCATTGTGCAGGCTGAACCTCGGAGTGGAGTGAAAAAAGAACATGCTTTCTTCCCGAAACTGATGTTTAACCACGGGGGCCAATTCGTGTATCTCACTCTATTTGAGTTCTAACTCACGTTCCTATGTGAGTGGAGTTCCACACTTCAGCGATCGATGACCTCGAGGTCCCTTCTTATAGAGTAAAAGAATTGGGTGCTCATGATGATTCAAATACGGGGAGCGGGGTATCGCAGATACGCCTACGCCTATGCTGTCCCATATAGTGGAACTTGTTGAGTGCCAGTCAACGAGCACGGAGTATCATAGATGGAGCCTCGGCTGCCCTGAACGGAATGGCTCCCAAACATGTCCGGGTTTAGTAGCTTGCAACTCTTGCCACTTGGCGCTTTCGTCGCTGTGGCACCACATAGCACTGCAGCTAACGAAGCCATAGCGGCACTAGCGCCTACCTAGTGGCGACTTTTGACAACTCCAGAACACGGACGTGAGCCGGGCCCCGCTTTCATTCGCTGAAATACGGCAGCCGAGGCTCCATCTATGTTACTCCGTGACGAGTACCGCTCGGGCTGCGGGGGGCAGGGGCGTCCGGACCAGGCGCTCATGCGTTAGACTCCCTCCCGACCCGTTTTGATTTCTCGCAGCACTAACGGAACGGACCAACGGGTGCGAGATAGGCAAATGGCACCGCTTGATTTGTGTGGCTGCAGGACGGTGACTTTCATTCGAGCATCTCACGGACTTCGCGCCAAAGTTACCAAGGCCAGAGCTTTGGGGTTCGATCTGCACATGACCGCTCGTTAGCGTGTGAGTAGGGTTGCTTACCGCTCCTGTGGCTCAGCGCTCCGTTTCCTAGTGCAACCTGTCAAAACACTCGTCATCCTTGTCGAGTGCGGGTAGAGGTTTGTTAATGGTAAAACTTGTTTGGGACTGCTCTTTGGCAAGGTGCACAGGTCGGACGGAGGTGTGTGGGAGAGGGAGAGAGAAAAGGGGAAGGGGGGGGGGGCACAGTCAAAGTGCCTTCTACGTCTAATTAATTCCTTTGTAGTTTTTTCATAATCCTATAAGATTAAAGTCCTGTACGAGCAACTAGCAAGTAAAACAATAAACAATGCTTGAAAATTCCTCGTAAGCAATGAATAGCGTGTGCATTACGGACCTGTACTCCGGAAGCATTTTGCAGTGGTGAGGGGTAGCAGGAGGTAGCTTGCTACCCGGCACATTCTTGACCATTCTCCCCCGTCTCCGCCGTGCTGCAGCTGGGGCCCTGCCCGGCTCCACGCCAAGTCCGCCGAGTCCTTCTCGCCCTCCTGAGCACCACAAGGCGCTTCGAGGAGGGCGCCGCCTCGCATACCCGATGCCGGTCGATAACAGCCGGTGGTACCCGATGGGCGTACCCGATGGTGGTGGTGCCCGATGTTGCCCGACGATACCTCGATCCGCGATGCGCTTCTGAGGGGCTGTTTCGGCGGGGGCAGTAGATAGAGCGACGTTTGAACGAAAAGTTTCGGCGTGAGCGCTGACTGCAATGGACGGAGAGGCGGGAGGTATAGCGAGTTCGGGCGAGTTTGGAATGTTCAGTTCAGACTCGATTGCGCGCCCCGGTCGTGGCGGTGTCCATGCACCGTCCCGGCGTGCACGACCGCCCCCGCTCCCCGCGCCGCCGCTGTATCCGGCCGAGTAGAAGGGACGGCGGCGTGCGGACGTGACGCGCCCCGCGGCCCTGGCGCCGCTCGGCGCAGGGCCTCTCTGTGTCGGCATGCGGGCCGGGCCCGAGGTGTCGTGTCGGGTGTCAGCGGGAGCGGGACACCGACGACAGAGATCCTGCGGGTCCGGCCCGGCCGACTATATCGCCTGAGTGCAGCTATATAGGCAGGCCGCCGCCTTTGCCGGCGCGGTCTTTCGTACGGTCACGCGCGTCGAAGCGTGAGGGGGTGTCCCCGCCCGTCCCGCCCTGCCGTGTCGTGGCGGCGGCGGGTCCTTTGCCGAGGCCTCCTCTGTAATTCCTCGCCCTCCTCCTCCCCTTCCAGCGCACATTAACATTCAGATCAGTCTGGAGATGAAACTCTCATCAGAACCCTCCCCCCCC